TAAAAACTGAAAAAAATCCGCAATGGATTTTCATCGAACCATCAAGCACTTTTTGGTAATCTGGATGTTTGATAATTTCGATCAAACATCATGGAGATGTACTTGATACTTAAGCTTAAGATCCTTTTGAATGGAACAATTTCCCCCACCTTGACAGTGAATTCTAACTATGAGTGAACTCAGTGGAAATTAATGTACCTTTCGATCGGATGAAAGTGTTTTCAAATAGCAAGGTAAAAAGACTTGCAGTCTTTAGAACATGCAGTTGAATTAAAAGATGGAATATTAAAGCCGAAAAAATCGCGTTGGAAGAAACGACTCCTAATTCCGTTGAAATAAGTTGCTCTTGGTTCTTATCAGAAAATGTGATTTTCTCTGTTAGTCCACTTAGAAATGCATCCAGATGAGTGTGATATAAAGCAATGAAGAACACAATAGTCAGTTGAATATCCAATGAAATGTTACGTAAAAGTTCATCGAGCTGTCGTTGATCATGTCATTCGTCCAATTTTCGTCTATTTCCTCAGCTGTACATCAATGATAGAGGGCAAACAACAAAGATGACTGCACTTGAATGAGATGGGAATGATTAAGGCTTGCTTCAAGATGAGCATACTATCAAAATTCACGCAAATTGATCCGATTTATCAAATCCCGAAATCCCGGGATTTTTCAAAACTTAAATCCGGGAATCGGGATCAAAACTGAAATCCGGAGATCCCGGGATCCCGTGCAAACCCTAGTCATCACATCCTATGCACTCGCTCAAGCTTTCGACTGCCACATTCGAACTCAAATAAGGTTTCACTGGTTTGTTGGCTTTTCGTTGCGGTTGACCTCATCGTCAGAGACGGCTATTGCTAAATATGGAAAGGTGAAAGGAATTCTGCCGTATTTTAAGATGACTCCACCAGAAATGTTCTTCTATTGTTGCGTCGTGAAATTATTCTGCAGAAGAATAATTCGAAAGCTTTGTAAACTTCCAAAGGTTGTAAACTTTGTAAACCATCTAAACCTTGCTGATCTAATTTTTTCGTGTTGGCTCCTCCTCGGCCAGACAGAATCAACCTCCCTGTAGTGACTGATCTAGCAGGTGCTNTGCGTTCAATCACATTCCCAATAGACTACCCAGTGTTGTTCGCGTGTGTTTTGAAGACAGTTTTGTTAAGCGAAGAACTCCAAGCAAGCTTATCAAGAAGGTGATAGAAAATGGTGAGATCAACTGCGAAAAACGACTGGATAAAACGTCGTTTGATGCGCTTTTGGAGACGTTCGAAGTTAGTCGGTCTGAAACACTTCTTTGCCCTGTAATTGTTGGAAATGCAGCAAATCGATACTTATATTGGTCTGTTGTTTGGGGAATGACAACTTTACATGCACAGTTATGATTATCTGCTAGTTATTTTGATGAATTGTATATATACGCCAATTGTAAATCAATCAATGCACTTCGATAAAGCAAAGACTTTCCATTGCTTGATGCTATAATTAGACGAATTTATACGTTTGTAATGCAATCAAAACAGGAATCTTTGATAACATTCAGTCATTCATATTAGTGCTCATTGGTGATAAGAACGAAGCGGCGTCAGTAATTCAAATTTCAACGCAATTCTTTGCATTATCAATTACATGCATCACTCGGATTGCTTTCCTTGGTAATGTAAACTCTGTAATGCCAAAAATAATTCAATGCGGAAACCCGAACGAACCTCTATCACTATTGCTTCGGCAATATATCCTCCTCACTTCCATACATGATGCTATGAAGTAGTGATGGTATCTGAGCGAAATTTCGTGTTGGTCGAAATCCGACCAACTTGACTTTTCGTCATTGCGATCGTCGGAATTCCGAACAAATTTGTCTGATTTTCCCACTGACCATCGGTCGGATGCCATTACTTATATCAAGTCCAGTCCAATTCATTACCGTATCCCATACGACTCAGTGCACTATAAATGCCCGCATAAGGTGAACAGCAATTGAGTGAAGACCTTTAGAGGTCAACGACCCTTTCACTCATTGAGCATACGAACACCATGCGAGTTCACTTGATTGATGTGTTGTTTTTATGCGATGTTACAAGACATAAAATTGTTGCTGGCCGTTCCTAATAGTTCCGCGTACTTGTCCTTCGACAGTTTAGCAGACTTGTGATGCTCTGATGATGTCTACCAGATGCGTGTTGTTATTGCAGTGATCCAGCTACGAAACTGAAACTCATTGCATATCGGCGACGATCAAGTGCTGTTCAACGAAAAGCAGTGGTAACGAACTCGACAATGCTGAGTAGAAAGTATGTTTTTTTTAGTCACTTCATGTTGTCATGATTGTTTTTTTGTGAATTATTTTTTCCCGGAATATTCTGATTGGATATGGATCGGAAAATTTGTGAATTGTTTATGGGTTTCGTGAATGGTCACTGTTATGATTTGGGAATGCCAATACATTGACGCTTCCTACTAAGTCAGGCTGAATATTGTTGACATTGCAATGCGAGAAATCGACTTCACTTTCGAATTGAGCGAACAATGAAGTGTGCCATCTAATTTTCAACCAGAGAATGTTTGTTGTGAAAATATCGTCAGTTTCAGACGGGAATTAAGCGCACCTGATTCGGATGAAGCGAGAACCGCACCAAGACGTAAACGGCTAAGTCGGAAAGAATGTGTCGAAGTGATGTGTCGTATTTGTGGTCTAGTATCAAACGAACGGCGCTATCCACCCGAAGAGTTATGTGCGGTAGCATTAGACGAGTATCACGTCAAGCTGAAGATGCCTTCATCACTGAAGCCTACCTCAAGCAATCCTTCATCTTCTTGTCAACGGCCGAATTCAGTTAAAATTTTTTCCTTCGTTTATTTTACTGCCTGGAATCAGTGGTCGTGCTCGTTTACTGCGACTTTTCCTCAGCCAAAAAATGTTTACCCAAAGTCTCTGTTTCCGGCGTACTGAGCTATATTGCACGTCTTTCGTTGTCTTCATAGCTCAATTAACTATGGAATCGCTTTTAAATTAGAAATGAGGAAAATCGCAATGGAAACGAAGTAGGGCTCTTCAAAATGAAACAGTTGTTGCCTCAGTCTTTTTGCTTCTGGTCTGATTTTGGTGGGTATTGTTTTTACTTGATCAGTTTTATGCCGTTTGGGAATTCTGATTAGTTTTCAGTTGAAAACAAGAGCTGAAGTTCATGCGCTCAAAACTCTATGTAATGAGTGTTAGAATAAAAATATTTATACGAAAAATTGAAATTATGTGAAAATATCCAATTCAACATTTCACAGTGAAGTGGTATTGCAGGATGAGTCATCGGTCTACAAGCTGACCTATGTATTTGACGAGGATGATGGTCAACGAAGTGTTTTCGATCGATCAGCGCTTGATCTCATTCAAGATTTGATTCATGGCAAAAACTCATTGTTGTTCACATACGGTATCAGCGGGAGTGGAAAAACGTACACGATGACTGGCAATACAACGGTTATTTTGTGCTCTTTTATTGACTTCGATTCGTGTTTCTAAGGAATGATCGCAGTTCAATCTATCAACATTATCTTTTTTCAATTCAGAAAAAGTTTCGAATGTTGGCTCATAAGTACCCAGAAGCTGTTTGGAATATGGAACGGACGCATCCATCATTTCACTCCGTGAATCTTTCAATTGATATGTTTCTAATTGCATGTGATCGCATGTTTGTAATTGCATGTAATTGCATGTGTGAAAGCCGTCTTATTGACTGCAGTGTGAAAATTCTTACAGTTTCATCTGTTTTATAGGAAGAGAGTATGGGCATATTGCCTCGGGCATTGGACTTACTGTTCAATTCGTTAGTGAATTTGGCTGATAAGTGTGTTTTTTGTTCGAATCGAAGGAACGGATTCACTGTGTTGAAGGAACGAGAAGCCTCATTGGCTCGTAGACTCTCAACTATCCGACCGTCTGATAGCGTGGAATTCTTGAATCGATTCGTTGAAAGTAGACGGGTTTGTGGTTTTATGAAAGATGGTATAATGATGTGTTTTTGAGTGCATTTAGAGCTGATATATCCGAGTTGTTTTGCTGAGTCTCCATGTTTTAAATTTGTTCCAATCATATTGGTTTTTTAGGTAAGTGGAGCGCAAAACGAAATGATCTATGCGGTTTTTGTATCGTACATTGAAATCTACAATGATGTGTGTTATGATTTGTTAGCCGATCCGATTACCAGAAACGATGGAATAAGGCGATTTTTCTTTCATTGACACTTTTTATTCACTTTAGCCAGCATTTGTTGAAATGACTATGGAAGTTGGGAAAATTTTCAACCGATACCGTGATATCGTCATTTGAATAGTTTGGAGTTTGCTTATTGACTAGAAATTACTAGAAAAAGAGAAGGATGGGGGGAAGGGGGTGGGAGGGTATGGGTGTTTTCTCAAAGATTTTGATCACTCAGAACCATTTGCTCGTTGGAATAGACTATGGCTCTACAGCGTCCAGTGTTCGAACGAAAACGAAAACGTGGTCAAACGAATACATTTGTTAACAAAAACCGCTCTGAAGGAATAGTTTTTGTTTCAGGGTATTGCCATCCAAAGAGCTTCGAATGGGACTAAATAATAGTGTATTTGTTGACGGTGTTGTGGAGGTTGAAGTTCAGTCAAGTAGTGAAGCTTTAGAGCAATATTTCAGAGGTAATTTGCTTGGAGTTGCCTCCGTTCTTTCAGTAAGAAGCAGTCAATCGGATTTTAAATACGTTTCGTGGAGTTGATTATGTTCTTTCACCATTTGATTACAGTAAAACTCGTTCTTGTATCTCTTCTACCACAATTCAAAATGACTGTAACGAGTGAAACGTTTTGCCTTTGTAGCCACCATGACGAAGTGAAATGCTTTGAGAGTGGTATCTTTGTTCAGGATTTTGTAAATATGCATATTATTGATGAACACGGCAAAAAATTTTTCATTGAATTGTTGCGAATGATCGATATAATTCAGGTCAAGAAAAACGAAGTGTTGCGGATACATTGTTGAACAAGAGTAGCAGTCGATCGCATTCTGTATTTAATATTCGTCTCGTCATGGCACCAGCTGAACCGGGACAATTCTATCCAGTGGCAGATTCAAAAAAGGTAGAGTTCTGACAATGTAACTTCTCTTAATAATAACACCAATAATAATAATAATACTGATGCTGATATCAAAAACTGTAATGATCAGAAACGGTAGCGATAGTGGCAATATCAATAATGCGAAAATTAATGATACCATTTCCAGATACATACCAGTCAGCTATCACTGGTTGATTTAGCCGGTTCGGAGCGTACCAAACGAACGGGTAATGTTGGTAAGCGGCTAGCAGAAACGTGCAAAATCAACCAAAGTCTGCTTGTACTGAGGCAGTGCTTCGAGAAACTTCGGTTAGTTGGAATCTTTTATTATTTTCATGAATCGTCGCAGTTTATTCTGCAAAACTTTATCAGGGATTGGTTACATTTAAAGCAATTTTAGCAAAATTGCAACATATTTGAGTGGTTTGTATCTGTTCCTAAATAGTGAGCGATTAGTTTTGAAGACTTCATTCATTCTTCGATATGTTGTATCGTTCGAGAGCCTTTCTTAATGTTGTTTGGTCGGGAATAGTCAATTTTGGTTGCAAATCTCAAAAAACGAGTAATAGAGATTCTCAAATCTCAAAAAAGTTGCAAATCTCAAAAAAGTTTAAAACTTTGTCTCAATGAGCATTCAACTCATCATGTTCTAGAGCGAATCAAAGTAGCACAATTCCGCCAGGTCAAGTGCCATATCGTGAGTCAAAGTTAACGTATCTCTTCAAAAATTTCTTCGAAGGATCCGGTAAAGTAAGAATGATCATTTGTTTGAATCCAAAACCCGACGACTACAATGAGAATTTGGTCAGTTCCGAGCGATGTTTTTATTGATTCATGATGAGAATTTTGCATGGGACATCTTTTGTCAGTGTGATCGATTCGAGCATCTGAAATGGTTTCCGCTGAATATCCGGCAGATTTTTGAGATCCTTTCAGTGAACTGGGAGCAAATATGAGATCTAAAATAGCAGCACTTCTACCGCGAAAACTGTTTTATCCGAAACCGTTTTCTTTGTGAACACGGACCAATATGAAGGAGCGTTCACATGATGATGTAAAATGTAAAATACATTCACTGCTTCAGTTATCGTTGGATACCTCTTAGATTGCACTTATCTTGAGAATATCTTCGCACGAAACTGATGAAACATCGATTAAAAATAGTCCAATTAAGGGAGTGATGAGTTTTGCGGAGCTTTCCAAAGAAGTTTTGCTGCCAGTCAATGAACAGAAACTACCAACTGTGTCCAACAAGAGCGATAATATTGACCGAAATCAATTCATGCATTGGATGAGTGAAGTGGAAAGTGATCACAGCACGGTTGGTATTTGTCTGGTCAAATTGTTCATTGCGAATTTCATTTTGTTATATTCGGTGCTTGATAACGCATTCAGAGGATTCATTTTTAAAGATTCCAAGTCCTCAACTGTTTAGATTGCAACCTTATTACTCATATTGAAGATATCGCGAACAAGTTCTGAATCAGTGCCTGAAATGAAGCTAGAATCGTCAGATGATATGCGTGCCTTACAACGATTGAAAAATTATTTCATTGGGGTGGAACAAAAACGAAAGGAAATCATGAAACAATTTGATGAGAAAGGTTAGTTTTTCGGGTCATATAACGTGGAAATCCGCCCCTANTTTTTTTTTCCTAAAACGAATATCGCAGTGAAAGGCAATGAAGCCGAGAACTATACTGCCGACAAAGGTTATAATGATGACATAATATTGAAACAAAACAAATAACAGCATTTCCAGTGCGAGAGCGATACACATGATTCAACAATTCGACATTATTTCAGATCGAAGGTTCGACTTGAACCTGCGAAAAGCATTGTATAAATTTGATTGTGCATCTGATGAACTCGACAAAACAAAGCGTGATTTAGAAGAAGCAAACAAACTGGTTATATCTTTAAACGCTCAGTTACGAAAAATGCGTGTGAGTGGGAATATTTTAAATTTTTGCTTATTTCTTGATGCGTTTGATTTCGGTGTTCTATCTAAAAGTCCATTTTCTTGGAAATAGAGGTCTCACAAGATTCTAACTGGACTGGATTATCGCAAAATCCTGACTTTCTTGATGAAGTTGGGCTTGGGACTATCAGTGAAGATAGAAGAACCACTATATTCTGATCGTACTGATGTATGTTGGCACTGGGAAAGTTATTCGAATCCGTTCATTTCATAGGAAATTATACGGATTTCATGTTGTCAATCTGAAGGAACATCAAAACATTCGAATTGATATTATCAGTGCTTGTATCTTCCCGCATCATTCAACATGTCGTGATTTTTATTTGCCGGTTAGCTATCACGGAGGATAGAACCGTTATCTAATGGTTTTATCGTGTGTGTTAGCAATCCGACACAAAAATGCGGTATGACCATAAAGTAATTCAGCGTGCGATTATTGAAAAAGCCACATTTTTGTAAACAACCATTTCGAGCTGTTCGTTTCCATAAAGATCGACATTTCAGAATGATAATGTGGAGCTGAATCGCCAGTTAAGTCAACGAAATAAGGAACTCACCGACGAGCGTGAAAGGCGCCGTTTCATTGAAATAGACTATGCAAAACTTCTAAGCTCAAGAGAAAATGCTCCTGTCAACCGGGTAAGAAGATTATGCTCTCTAGATGGAAAAAAAATGAAACCGTACTTGACTGCCAGGAGAGATGTCACACTGAGTTTTAGGCTTGCCGAACAGCAGACAGATCAAATGGTAGGCGTAACGTGAGTGGCTCTGCACATAGGATAGATTCATCTGGAGACAAGGTAACTTCCGATTCGAAATTTTTTGACAGAGCGAAAATTGCGTTGTGTGTGAGTTGAAGTACTCATAGCATGGTTTCACGTATTTCCGTTAATGTAACTACTTTTGAATTTAGCGAAGAATAGACTGCCTCAACGAAAAATGTGATCATTGATTTGTTGGAATATTTGAAGGGTGGATAAAATATCACATGCTATTCTTTCATATTGTCGTATTGGAGACACAATTGAGAATATTATTCCCGTTAACGAAGACCGGTTTGAGGTTCAGAAAACTCGATGAGAAATTGTATGAAACGTTTCAGACACCGTTTTCTCGACGTCGTGCAACTCCAGCTTATGATGACTCGTCTTCCCTGTCTAGTAGTACCGATGACAACATTCCGAGAGTATTGTCTGGTAGAACCTCGCGCAGCCCAAAAGTACGCTTTTTTGTTCATTTCGGCTAGTTAACATTAGGCGCCTCGTGGGAGTTCTGTTTTAGTTAAGCAGTAGCGATGAGCAGCTGTCGACTTGTACCCTGATATGAGCTGTTCGCTTCCAGCTGATGCTATTACAGTTCGGAAATAATGCAAGTTTGAGACGTCATGGGGCTATCTCTAAATCTCAACCCACTGAGTTAGCTGTGAAAACTAGATCGCATGATTTCGAATGTGCAGGTGTGAGCGTTACTTTCTAGAGTCGCTCTTGATTTTCCACTGTTCGCCATTGATTTGGAATAAATTTCCGTGAAGCCCACGGATCTGGAAACTCTCCAGAAATCCTGGGGTTCTCCAGACATGACCAAGGTATTTCGCTTATTAAGCAAATCAAAACATTGGCTTTAATTTGCCTTATATGTTATATATGATTCTGATTATACTGTTTTTTAGAAATCGTCCAGAAAATTCCATACTCCTTCCCAATGTTTCACGTCTATGAAGTTGTTATTCCCTGATATGGCACATGTTAATTCCGAAAAATTGAAATCTGATTGGATTTGTGCTCATCTTGCAGATTGCCACTTCGGGCAACAACAACGTGAAAGTGTTTCGTCGTCGTTCAAAGAGTGCACATTTAATGGGCACACTGAATCGTCGTTCACGACCTGCACTTCCTCCACACCTGCAGCGTGCAGCGTTGCGTGCAATGAATTCTCAGCCAAAACCCCCTGTCACTAGCTACTATGATTGTATTAATCAAATGCCACTTATGCATGAAAGTGCTTCTGAGAACAATGACTTCTTGACTGATTAAATGACTGCTTCATTAAATGACTGTTGTTTTTGATTTCACTTGTTTGTCCTTGTTGTTGTTTGTTTTGCTAAAATATTGAATTCGTCATGGATCTGATTCGAATTTCTTCTAATGTGAATTCTCCATGAGAACGTTCTCATCAGAGCTTTTACGTTCATACTTTTGGTTGCGATTCGCCGATTAAAACTATCTCCAGTCCTCCCAAAATTCGAGTCCTTTCTCGAGAAAAAGTCTTGTTTGCATGCCTTGGGTGGATTCATACTTAGCTTACGTGTATTGTGCNTATTTAGATAACTTATGTTTATAAATTAGCACACTTCAATAATTGTTTAGTGTGATTTGTAAATAAATGATTAAACGAACGGCGTATAGCATAAATTATTTCTTTTGTGGTAATTGCATTTCTTCACGAATGACAAATTATTTGAGCGGTGGATCGCTCACTGACTTCAACCGAGCAGCAACAGATCTGAGTCGATTTCGCGGATCACAAGCGGTTGTATCCTGTACTGGGGAGCACTTCAGTAGGCGGTTCCTGACCTGGAGGCATCGCATGGTCGTTTGGTGCATCCGTTTGAGGGGAGGGTGATTCTTGATGTGGAGTTTCGGTTGTCGTTACAATGATTTTCGTTTGGGTGTAGCCAATTACACGTGGTGTTATAGGGCATGGACAGTATCCCGCATCCGATCCTACTGAGCCTTGCACACCGACGGATCCCGCATGGCCTTCACGACCGCAGGGTCCTGCTTCACCCGAAGGACCCAGTGGTCCTTTCTGACCTGAAAGTATTCGGATAAGTCAATGTCGTCGTTGGTGGTATTGGCAAGGAGCGAATTGCTTTCATCGTGATTACAATTCATCGTTGTTGTTATTATATTAATAATTATACTGCCTCACTATTTTATTGTTAGTGCCATTATGGTTTCCAATGATATTTTTTGTTTGTTGCCGTTATAATCATTTTATTAATTCACAAGCAAATGAACAGATCCTGCACTCACCCACACTTCCCTGACGTCCTTCATCTCCCACATATCCAGTAGAGCCTTGTGGCCCTATCATACCTGGCTCTCCTTTTGTTCCACGTGAACCATGCAAGCCTTGAACCCCTGGCCTTCCAGAAATACCAGACTTTCCAATTACGCCGAACTTACCAGTCTTTCCTTGACATCCTTGACTTCCTATAATAGGATATAGAACTTATTTCCTTCTTATGTTTTCGAAAAGCAAATCGCCTATATGAAAAATGGAATTTCCATGCATCCCACTCAATACTTCCACTCCAAACAATGATTTTACCTNCTACCTGGCTCACCTGCCGGTCCGATTGAACCAGGCGATCCAGAAGGGCCGTTGGGACAAACGCGGCATCCAGCAATCTGCAATGCACGAACATGCACAAATTATCTCGATATCAATGCACAATTTAAATCATGCAACAAAATTTTACGTGATGTTCGTCGTAATATTGAGCAGAAATTCAATGAACAGAAAAAAATACTCTTTTCAATCACATACAGTGTCTGTGGTGACTTGTGCCGCATTTCCTGGAAGTCCCGGCCCTCCTGATGGCCCTGCTTCTCCAGGAATACCGTCCTCACCCTGTAAAACTTTCAGCTGGCTATAAGCAGAACAACACTTAATGTCAGTTTAAAAAATGTCAGTAAAAGAATACCTTTCTGAGCGGTAAGAAAACAAATGTAAACTTTAACACTTCCGAAATCATTCACACGAAACACAATTTAGAAAGTTACTACATTACATTGTAGATCACTCATAAAAAGTCCTGCAGAAGAATAACTTCGAATGTGCAAATTATGCTCCTTTTTCTTTAACTGGATCAAAGAATCGAAATTCGAAGAGCGTGAAAAAATGTGACTTCGTTGATACGCTCTATGTTAGCGACTACTCTTTGAACAGTGCAGCTTGTCTATTGTAACAAATCACAGCACAGATGAAACAATCCAGTAACGCTCTTGAATAGTATCTACTTACTGATCGTCCTGGTAAGCCAGGTGGCCCTGCTTCACAAGAGTTTCTTTCATCGCATTCTGCAAAAAGAAATTTCATCATTGAATCGGAAGGATGAAAAACTTCGGTTAAACTCCTCATAGTTCATTGGGAGTGTGCTTCTCAAAATATTTATCAGTTCAGCATATTACCTTGTGATAGAGGCATCAATGCGCGTAAAATGACCAAATGATTGGCTAAGTGCATGAATGACCAGATTAAAACTGAATACACAGAAAGTGAACTGCCTAATTTTGATGCGAAAACTGCATTCCACATACAAAACGCGACATCTTTAATCAATGAAAATTTCTTCAAGATTAAAGATGTAAATTAGATCGCTCACATTTGGTCACTGTATATTTTTGCATAATTTTGAAAGAAACATGAGGATTTTGAGGAACTTCGCAAGAAGCTTGAGAAAGTTTGATGGAATCAGAGCTGGTTGGTAATACGAATGAAAGTGGACAATCGAAAATTTTGTTGACCACAAATAAGAGAATTCCTTGGAAATCGCGATGGAACGGTGCGTTTGCTATGGCCACTTCTTGACTGGTGAACATTCAAGACATCATTATTTTCAGCCTGAAAAACAATTCGTTTCGCATGAACAGCGTATAAATTCCAGTGTTAATAATGAAAGATGAAACGCAGCTTATGAGGAAATTCGGATCCACGTTCACAGCACCTATCGATGAGATACAATTAAGGTGTCTAAGTTTATCAATGATAATGCTATCAATCATTAATGACAATATCGGAATTATTTAATTTTTTGTGAGTTTCTCGTTCCCAGATATCTATCATTAAACCTCATAACGATAATCATCATTACTGTTTCGTTTCCTCGTAATTTCATTATTTTCGTAATTGTGAATGTGAACATAACCTGTCTTATATGTCTCGCATTATTTTTATCAGTGTTGTATTTGATTATTCGATGCCATGCTTCATCTGACAACGTCCTAATTTGCTTCGATTCCAATTGTACCTGGATATTTTAGATAAAGCCATAATAAGCTGTTGCATTGGTAACATAGGCCTGTTGATAATGACTTTGAAAAGTGAATGCTATAGGTCAGTGGTTCTCGCATGGAGAAGTTTTAGAGCCAGGAAGGTGAATTGCAGAGATTAAAAAAGTCATTTTCGATCCTCCACAAGCCTTCATTATGGTTTTCAAAATGCTTAGTTGATCGCAATGGATTGATTTATTTGATACCACCACCGCATTGATCACAGAGAACATTTTGCGTTTTTATGTGATTTGTTATTAACTACAAGTTATGGAAAACTACTGGAGAAGGAAGCGAATCACGGTTCCACGGATTGTCGAACGTTGAATGAGGATATGTCATATGATTCAAAGAGGGGGCGGGGGGGGGGGGGGGGGGGGGGTGGGCATGAGGCATAAAAACCAATGGTATCAATTGATATATCATACTTCCGTAAATAACTCACTCTTAAGTAGATCTCTCCCCAATAATGAAACTTGGGGAATCTACAACTGTCTTTGGATAGGTAGATCGCTTCTTTGAATAAGGTTCCTCCCACAGGAAATTGGGAAATTTGATTTTATGTTGTTATTCGAGTGGCATATTCCCAAAAATACCGTCAAAGCTTGGGGGAATGAACGAAATTCAGATAATATCTTCCAACTCAATAATAAAATGAACCAAAATTATGACTTTTGATATCCTTGAAAATATTTTAGCTCTCTTGATCAGAAGATATCTGATAAAATGTGATGAATGAACATGTGATGAAGATAAATCACGCAATCAAAATTACTGACTGTGAATAACTAATAATAAGTCAAAAATCAGAAAGAAATACAAAATATTGAACAGTAAAATATCAAACCTGCTCATTTATATCAGTAATTTTAACAATCAGTTGACATAAACAACTAAATGTCAAGAATAATGAGGTTGCCGATATTAAGACTGCACTGATGCCAGCCACTTTCGAGAGGTCCTTCATCTCTTATGATCGTGATGTTACTAATGTTATGTTAATCTCCTGTTTTATTCATGTTTAGCACCGATATTGTTATCGTTATTAGTGTGATTATTAATGGTATACTTTAATCGCTAATGTTAACACTAATTGGTTATAATTATATCAGTATTTATGCGAATCACATAATTAGTCTGTGCAAATTGTGATGATTGGTGAGCAGTGTTCCGGTTCATCACAACATTTCGTCATCTTGAACGAATTTGAATAAACAAATCGCCGATGAAACACACTTGTTTAATTAACACCTAATGCATTCACACATTAACAATCCTGTTCTTTTTCATTCCTTGTGGAATATGTTCTCAGACTGATCGTAGCAGTTAATCACAATTTTAACTGCCATTATTATTTTTATTATCACTATTATTATTGCTGTTATTGTCATTATTATTGTTATTATTATTACTGTCATTGTTATCACTATTATCGTAATTATTATCACTGTGATTATTATTGTTATCATAACTACTCTTATCATTTTTCTTATTATAATTGTTATAATCTTTATTATTTAATTAATATCATGGTCAATTTGAAATGGACGTCTATCCTACCAACGAGCTATTTACATTCAATTGATATAACATAAACATCATCTGTTGTCAATATAGAACATCTTCATTGCTAGATGAATTTTAACTAGAAACTGCATCACGATTTGTTACGAAAGAAGAACCTTCAGTTCTTCTTCATGGTAGAAATGGATGCGTTGATCAGCATACTCCTACATTTAAAAAACGATTGCTTCAAAGTTTTGCGTGATATGAGGATGCGTGTTCTATTGCTAGATGGCAGAGTGAAGGGATGTTCAAGCAAAATAGTTTCTGTTCTGCATTCGAGCTTAGACATGACGCTCTCTGTCATATTCTTCACATTCGAGAGACAAGAGACATTCAAAGATTTTATGCATCAAGGAAACAACAAACAAAACGAGGTAAACAAGCAGTGAGGATTAGCTCTCTGGATGAGTCAACTGCCGTACTGGTGACATTGCTATTCAGTGATTTCAACCAATATTACCCCTTCCCGAGGAGTTCGTTTCTGTCTTACGATCAAAAAACATTAACTGGAAGGTTATGCATCGTCATTACTGATTGCAGGTCTAAAGTCAGCGAAGGCATTGCTTTACTCAATTTTGTCTGTATCACAGATTAAATCGGAGACCATTTGAGATGCAGCAATCTTATGAAATACACCATTTTTCGGTAGGTCGAGTTCAGTTCTGAAAGTTCAATTGAAATTGAATATTCTCGTTCGCCTTTTCATCATATTTGTACTGAATTCATTGATCAATCAGCATATTTTTCGGCATTACTACTATCAGTGGTGTAAATTCTGTCTTCCAGTTCATTCGGAAGAACTTCAGTATTGAAATTTCATCTGCTTTCATCAACATCATGGCACACATGGATTTTGCAGATATAAGTTAACGAACAGAAGATGTTCCACTGAGATTACTAATACGGAATCATTAAGCGCTTACAGCGGGCATCTATGAATTCAATATCAAAACCGTTGTATCAGTTCAGCATCTAAGTCGCACTGTTGATCGATTTTAAATACCGATTTTTGCAAACTTCATGATGGACATTGATCAGTGTTGCTCTAATGCCTCCAACATAAACAAATTGCATAGGTAAATACCTGCAATTTGAGAATAATTACAAGAATGTCGCTTATATTTGAAAAGAAGGCAATGGCTAGGTTGAAAGCGTCTATGAGTAGAACTGTTTTCGTAGGCGTTTGGTTTTTTCCTGTACATAACTAATATAACCGCTTTATTTTGGGCGATATAATCACCAAATTACACCATTTGCTGGTAGTAATGTTTGGGAGGAAAAGAAAATGCAACAAGAACTGAGCGAACTTGCGATCAGCTCACCATCATATCACAATGTGGAAAGTAAGCATTATTGTCGAAAGAATTGATCGTGATATTGATGCAAAACTCGAAGAACTAATGAAAAATATTCGAGTAATTGCTTAAGATGACGCATAATCTAACCATCCAAATGCTACGTTCTGTTCCATGAATTGGGCAAACTTTTCCCGTGTTTTCATGTCTCCCATATGAAATTCACAATTCCACTGGCATACCGTGAGATTGTTTTTGTCCATAGCATTGTTTGGCAGAAACATTTCTACCATATCAAACTGAAAAGTGCGATTTTTTTAACCTCATTGTCAGTCATGTGCTCTTTTAGAAGTTCTAACAGTCGCATCAATACTACTCCGGTACACTTGCTATCACTTACTCAAGCCTATGAATCATCGTCCAAATACGTTCTGCTCCGAATTCCGATCCGAATCTGACTCTGATCATATTATTTAAGTTCTGACCAGTCGTAATGTATTCAGCACCAATACAGCAATCACTGATCCAAGGATACAGAAATTCAAACGGTTTAATTTCTTGTTGAGAACAACGAGGAAATTTATTTTTTGCAATTTTAGTCGTTTGTTATCAATAGTTCTATTCTCTGTGAGCATACGTTTATGGGTATCGATCTTTACCAAACTTGTCACTTTAGCTGTCCCTTTTGAAGAATTCAAAACTGAAGCGATGTTACCGTCAACAATGGGATGCACAGTGGTTCAAAAGAGTTAATTGAATCAATAAATTCAGATGCGAAGATATTACCTCAGAGGATTCAGTATCCATCAGCAGGTAATCGATCACGTTCACTTTTGCATATTTGGTCAAGAATGTGATCAGATCAAGATGCGATATGTTGTGTGGTTTGTACAAACCGTTCTCTGAAAATAACTTCCTGCCTTTGGAGTAAGAAACATGCAGAATAATGTGGCAGTCCAGCGTTCCAAAGCTGTTTTCAGACTGTTCGCTTTTGCTTTCAATTTATGAAGACAACATCGTCCATCGAACTGTATTTTTTCTCATGCAAGCACGATAACATGTTGTTTTCACACGAAAAATGAATCCGAATCTGCGGTTAAATTTTCCGTCATGAATACAAGATAATGTCAGCCGATTATAACCGGTTAGCAATGTTTATGAACAGCAGTAGTTTGATTATAGTCTCGAAAGGAGATTATTACAATTCCGCTTTCTTATTATTGATCCCGAAAGATTACTGGTTTATTGCTACTGGTTGTCCCAAACACCTACTCCGAGCGATCATTGGAGCATGTTCAATGGATCAAACAGGGTGTATTCTCGGGCTCATTTTGAGTCCGTCTTCCTAGAAACCATTGGGCAATATGGGAGAGGATCCCTGTACCTCAATGCTCGCCAAATCAGTAATTGAATTTAGAATTTAATGAAGACAGAAAATTCCCAGCGCTATTACCATTGGGTGCGTGGAGAAAGGAATGTTAAGGAAGGAATAATATGATATTGGTGGTGACGGAAAGATCTAACTCGTGATGAGTCGTAATTGCTGATTACATAAATAAATAATTAGCTCGATTCGCTAGCTAAAGAACATTGCTGAAGAAACTTCACTGCGTCAGAATATTTTCTGGATGCCACATACCGTAGAGCGAAGCACTTTTAATGCCACTTGTAGCTGCAATAGCGTACGGATAGTATGTGCCGATCGTCGAATACAGTTGTTTGTTTTCATTGATCCCTGGATCAGCACCGTGAAAATGACATTGTGCTGGGATTAATTTGGCGAGTTGTTGCTCAGCAGCAATATCTTTACCAATGCCTAGCGTAACTACATTGCATTGTTCAGATGCCTGTAATCAATCCCAGAAAAAAAGATAAACGCGTTCAACTTTTCAAACTTATCGTTAAATCTCAATCAATAACGACAAAACGTACCGGAATATTTGAGGTGACGTTAAGAAAATATTTTGTTTCATCTGAATTTCGCACTTGCCTCAGTGGAAATCTCTTCAGTATATTGTGCTTCTTCATGCAATCATTGACGAGATCTGTAACTTTTCCCCAAATCTTAAAAAAAGACAAAAATGAAATGTGCTAAAAGACGTTTGTAACATATCTGTTAGTCAGTTCGTAACCTAAAATAATTCATTCGTTGACTTCCCCTTCATTCATTTATCGCTGTTCACAATGTAAGCATACACAAGGTACTGAACGGTATTGAACCACTATCACTTAGGATTATTGAACCACAGAACACGTTGGTATCACTTAAATTCCACGGCATCAAACAGATTAACACATAATCAGGGCATTGCTATAGCACCGCTGAAAGTAATGTGAAATTCTCTGGTCGAAAACTAACAGCTTCAGCACTGGCAGAATACAGACCATCAGCGATACATTGACGATATGTGCGATATAAAGGATCTGCATCTGGTAATTTTACTTTGCGATGTACAGGATCTGCATTTGGTATCTCATACTGAAATTACTTTTTGGTATAGGATGGTTAGGTAGTGGCTCATCATGAGCCACACGCAATCAATTATAAATAGCGGGTCATGAATGAAAGATTGTGAATCGTCGGAATTAAATGCGATCATTTTTTCAAGCAAGTCATCCTCTAAATTAGAATTCAATGCAAACAAATGAGTCAACATTAGCTTCAACTAAGGAATATGAACGAATTGTTTACCTCTGCATATTTCACTGTCGCTGAATTTTGAGAGGTTTTCATTGTCGTCGAATTTTGAAAGATAATCGTAAATATCAGAATAATCCACGCGGTTGTCAATGCAATCCATAATAACAGCGTACGGAATTTAGGCATCATTCAAAAAGTTTATTAAAGTTGAATACCTATAGATTGAGGGGATTTGAAATTTAAGCATCGTTGAGAAGTTCTCATCGTTTATCAATTTTAAGCATCAGTTTTTAATGGAGTAATCTGGATACCAGTTACAATAGTTGCTGAACAAGGATATCTCACAGAGATCATAATACTCTCATTTATTTCGAAAAATGGAATTGTGATGGCAACATTAGGCTTCTTGGAATGTTGAAATCATGAATCTGAATGCGAGTCATTGAGCGAACACCGAATTGAATCCGCAGTTTTTAAGGAAATTTGAGATTGTGGTTGGAAACCGGCTCAGCGGCTTCTTGAAAATAAGCTAATCTTGTGCCGTTAATGGAAAATAACTTGGCCCTGATATCTGAAAGGACTAACATGATCAGAAAATGGTAAATGCCTGACAGAAAAGTGTTGTGTAGTGATCGATTTAGCATCTGTGATCAAATTAGCATACATGATCTGCTGATTTGTCTATTGAAGGATCATGTTGTGATAAACCGGTGATCTTT